CTGCCAGTATAGGCAGTCTCTGCGCTGATGCCAGAATGTATGGTGAGTTAGGGTATTTGTCCCTCTACTCCCTTACCAGCCTTGGAAGCAGTATATATTTGTTTCTTTTCTCAGCATAAGGAGGGTGGTGGTAATGGGGAAAATACAAGGTGATGAATGCCTGACATTGTAGTTCAGTTCCTTGCCACTGAAACAGAAGTTTCTTCTCTGGGAAGGGACCTTGGAAATATGTGAGTTTTCTCAGCTGTTCATACTGTGCTAGTCTGATTGATTGCTATTTCAACCCCAAAGCATATTTCAGTAAAAAGCACAAGACCTCCAACTATTAGATGACACATTTGTTTTTACATAAAATTTTGGAAAATAGGATCCTGATTGTTGGCAAGATCCAAGTTTACAGCCAGAATAATTAGAGAGGAAAGAAAGAACTGAGTGTGTGTGGGAGGGTCTCCATGTGGCCCCCTAACTCTATGAAGCTTACCATTGTTGATTTTTGTCTTAGGTGTTCTCCCATGGAATGCTTTCCCTGGCAAGGTTTGTGGCTCCAACCTCCTGTCCATCTGCAAAACAGCTGAGGTGAGTGGGTCATTTGGGTTATTTTGCAGTGGAATAGCTAATATCATAGAAATTTCTACCTGTGGGTTTTAATTTTAATGACTAAATTTTCCTTTAGTGTATTATTGAATTAGAAGATTACTCTTCTATGGCATATTGGCTAAGTATACCTGAGTCAGTGAGCATGGATGATTAAAAATAGTTATTTTCCCTTGAGCTGCATAGAAAACCTTCTACTCCAAAATTCTTTCCCATAAAGAGAAATGTGTAGCTTTTAGCATAGATACAGTTTTATAGTAAAATACTCCAAATGAAAATTTTTATCTTTTAGTTAAAAACCTTATCAAGAGAATGGGCTATTCACAGAGATGCACATCAGTTCTATAAAATTCTTTCAACTAGAAACTAGCTAATCTCTAATGAAAAGTAAAAATAAGTACATTTGAAAAAGAAAAATACTTTATTGAAAACAGATATACACAAATAGAACAGGGAAATAAAATTAAATCCTGGGGAGAAGGTACTAAAAAATTTCTTTGAAAGCAAAATGTTGAATGTAAATTTTAGACTCTAGACAAAGTTGTAGGGGAAGAGGTGATTATTTGAGGTACTGTGCTATTTTATGAGTTTTCTGTGTTCCAGGTTCAATATAGCTAGGAGGTACCTTTTATATTGAAGAATTGGAGACCTACACATAGAGAAACAAAAATTTAGAGATGTGTAATTAGCAGAAAAATATCAACATGTACAGAAACCTGCTTTCAAAATTTTTAGTAGATTCATATTTTTTTGCTGTTACAAGAAATAATTTTTCTTCTTACATTTTTCCTGCAGTTCCAAATGACATTCCACCTGTTTATTGCTGCATTTGTGGGGGCTGCAGCAACATTGGTTTCCCTGGTGAGTGTTATTGAATGATCTCAGCAAATAAAGAATCCTGGGATAGCTTAGGTATAGCTATGCTGAAAGGCAAGAAGATGGACTCTTTCCAAGCTTGAAATGCAGGAGAGAAAACTACAGGAAAGATAAAGGAAAGGGCAGGGTTATATATTGCTGCTTTGTGTTTTCAAGTTAGAAAGATTTCAGCAATTAGAAAGAAACAATAAAAATGATGCAAGGAAAATTGAGTTAAGAGATTCATAGCCAGGAGTGATAATATAGAGTACTTAAAAGATCATGTAATATTGCTAAGTATTTTGTAGTCAAAAATTGCTGTTGATTCTCAACACAGCCTGATCAATCGGTTACCTATATACTGAAACATTGCTAAACATGATTTGCTATAGTCTAACATTCTATACACTATAAATATTAATCCATCTTTGATGCAACCCAATGGATTTAGATACTCTCATGAGAAATACTGGAAAGACCTCAATTATTAGAACTGCTATGAGTATAATACCAGTCTGTGTTGGAGGTCTTGCTGATGATGTGGTGCAGTGTCAAAATAGTGTGTTAATTGTGAAAAGTAGAAACCTAAGGCACTAAACAGTGCAGCAATTTACCTGAAGTCATTAAATAAGCAGTGAATGGACACGTATGAGCTCACAGAATCTTCTCACCTACTTCTGAGGCTTTTGTACAAAGTAAACTGATTTTTCACTTTGTAAAATAAATTGATGCATTAAGTAAGGGAAGGTTGTGCTCCATCTTAGGGCTGTGTCTACAGAGAGTATCCCATGCCTGCAAGTCCCTCAGACATGTGAATATGACAATACCTATGTGTTTTTCACTTGACTGAGGAAATCTCAGTACTAGGCTGAGCAGGGGTGTGGCAAAAATCTTTATTGATTCAATTATTTAGGCCTGAACCATTGGAAGGAAATATCTCAAAGAGGATTTCTACTCAAGTGTATGGACAGAAAGACTAGAGTGTGCTACATTTTTCCCAAAGTAGAATTTCCCCCTGTAGTTATGATTTTATTTCTACCCTTCCTAATTCCCAACAGGATTTGAGGATGGAGAGCTTCCTTTTCTACTGTTACACATATTTTCTCTTCTGTTCCCTACAGCTCACCTTTATGATTGCTGCCACTTACAACTTCGCCGTTCTTAAACTCATGGGCCGAGGCACCAAGTTCTGATCTCCTGTAGAAATTCCCCTTTTCCCTAATAGCGAGGCTCTAACCATATAGCCTATAACGCTGCGTCTCCCATCTTAATTCTGCCTTTGCTGCTGACTTGTCCTCTTCTTACTTGATGAGTGTAACAAGAAAGGAGAGTCTTGCAGTGATTAATTCCTCTGTGTGGGCTCTCTCTCTTATGTACCTCTTTTAGTCATTTTGCTTCACAGCTGGTTCCTGTGAGAAATGGGAAATGCATGAGAAGGTAACTCCCCAACTGCAAATTATGAAAAAATGGAAGCTCTAATTCAATTTCTAAGCATCTCCCGAGGACTTGGAAATACTTCTTTCTTAAAGGCTGCTTACATAGATGGAAACAAAGTGAAAAGAAAAATGTTCAGGTAGAGAGAAAGAATGTCTTTGGCCCCTTGCTATCTAGAGGGGCCAAATATATTCTCCTTAGCATGCAAAACAGAGAAATCATTCCTGTCTCCCTATTAGCACTGCAGATAGAAGGAAAAAAAATACCAGCAAAACAATAAGAACTTTTACCTAAATCTGCCTGTGCAGCTGGGAGAAAGGGGTCAAAGCAAGGATCTTTCACCCTCAGAAAGAGAGCTCTGACTCCAGTGGTGATGGACTATTAAAGCCCTAACTCAGTCAATCTTACTTATAGTATAAGGGAGCATAGTGTCTGTGTAGATTTAGGGGGCATCTGGCCTTATACATAGTTAGAAAGAGAAACAGGGTGTTGTCGACATCTCACTCTCTTCTACTTGATAACAGCTACCATGACAACCCTGTGGTTTCCAAGGAGCTGAGAATAGAAGGAAACAAGCTTACTCAGAAAAAGAAAAAAAATAAATAAAAGACGGGCCTAAAGAGCAACAGTTACTGGTGGCTAATGGTATAACTCAAGATGGCCCTCATAATTATAGACACACGATAGATAACTCTTTGGATAGCGTGTCTTTTTTCTGTTAAATAATTGTATGCTCTGGCCTCTGTCGTATCTTCACAATGGTGCTCTTTTCATAGGGTTTTACCCATTCAGTCGTAGTAGATGATTTCAAGATCTTGACTTGTTTCGGAATGATGCACATTTCACATTTTACAATTTGTTTATCACTGGTTAAGGGTTGTATCAGAAAGGTCTGGAGAATGAGTCTGATTATATTGCCACTTAAAAAAAAGAAAGTTGAACAGTAAACATCATAAATGATATTTGAAATTGAGTAGTGAAAAATAAATAAAATAGGCTAGTTCCAGCTAACCTATTGGAATTTTCTACAAGTATTCTGCCCTTTCCAGAAACAGATTTGGTGAATTTGATCCTCAATTTGAATAACTTGTTTGATCACTCCTTCCAGCTACTGAGAGATTATTTTACTTAATGATGTTATCTTGGCATGTTAAGAGTTAGACTTAATGTAGATGTTATTTTTTTCCGAGCATAGATTACATAATGGAATGCACCAGCTGTCAGCTATTCAGTTGGCAAACTTTCATGGAAAAGGACAGAAGAGCTTGAAACCTGAATAGCTTCTGAATTTTAGTCTTGTCCTGTTTTTGGTAACTTTAGGTTAAGCAAATATGTATCAGATTGATTCTTACTGAAGGAAAGAATTTTACTGTAATTCTTCTGTTTTAAGGAATTTTGTTGTTCTTTCCCCTAAAGTGGTTTTAGCAATGGTTAAGGAGACGTAGTATCTTTACAAAAAGAAACTTGATACTTGTTTTTAGACCAGAATACAAGATGAGCTTCCAGGCTACATAAAGGGAGGAGAGAAAAAGGATCTATAAGAAACCAATCAAGATCAAGGAAAGTGAAATAATACGTATCTTGTGTTTTGTTTTGATTTAATAACATAATGAATAACCAATCCTTCCCTGAAAACCTCACATGTATACATATACACATGTACACACACAAAGAAATTTAATTAACTGAAGATGTTTCCTTTATTTCTGATATAGAATTTCAATTTTAACACACATAAAGAATAAACTTTTAGAACTTATCTTACAAAATGTATTTTATAAAATTAAAGAAAATAAAATTAAGAATGTTCTCAATCAAACATTGTGTCCTTTGAATTATTCCAACCTCATAATAGAACTTAAGAATTGTACTAACTCGGTACTTCATACATGACTAATGCTTAATTTCATCTGGAAAGTGCTAGATGAGAGGTTTGAAGTGGTTTTGATTTGAGATGGGGTATTGGTGTGTTTCACATGCTGACCTCAAACTTCTAGGTTCAAGCCATCCTCCAGAGTCAGCTTCTGGAGCACCTCGGATTATAGTCACACATCACCATATTCAGCTTGTATATTTAAAAACTTATTATTTACAGAGCAGAACAGATATGCCACAGGCAATATAAATATAAACAGACTATGAAAGGGAAATATTAAAATAAATTAGTGAAACTCATTGCGCTGCATGGCTTGGCCCACTTGCCTACTTGGCATATAGCATATGGTGTTAAATATCCCCCATACCATAAACTTCCTTTCTCTGAGCTTTCTTTGTGCTTAGATCAGCCAAAGATGAAGATGCAGCAGTATAAACAACCCTAGATTAGGATTTGTCAGTCTCTGATGGCCAGCCTTAAAAGAAAAGCTAGCTTAAAATTAGCTGTGTATTTATTGTCCCATAGTTGCAATTGGCAAGGAATATGATAGGAGACTAGCTGGAGGTGACAAATCAGTCATCAGTTAAGGAGGTCCATTTAAAAGTACTTCCAGTGTAATCTCCTAATTTCTTCTTTGCCACAATTAATATTCTGCAAATGAGTCTGGTTGAATGGCCTTAAGACAAAAATAAAAAATAAAAATATGAATAACAAAGACTTAACTTTAGAGACTGGTAAACAAGGGCACAACATCATATTTTAGATAATTGATTCAGGGTGCTACAGAATGGATGTATTTTTGCCCCAGTGGAGCCAAAGCCAGTTCCCAAGAAAGCTGTGTTTTCCATCTGCCCTTATTTGCCTCTGCCCTCTGGGATGGATCTATAAATGAAGTTTCCAAGCTCTCAGAAACTGAGAGCATCTCCAGTCTATCAATTAAACCCATTATTCTTAGCTCTCCCACACACCATAAACCTCCTTTTTCTGAACTGAAAGAGCTCTCTTTGTGCTTAGATCAGCCAAAGATCAAGATGCAGCAGTATAAACAAGAAACATTTTCTTACAGCATCAGTTATATGGCTTTTCCTATCTTCAGGGTCAGTACTGAGTGCAATTATGCTGCGTGTGGAAGCTGAGCTTTGTTCAAAGCAACAGCCATTCATTCAGTATACATCTATTGAACTCTTACTAAGCTTTGTGTTAAACCCTGGGAGGTTCGAGTTTGGGAGCTTTGTGGGTAAGGCACTGATGAAGGCATGATCTTGCACTCAAGAATATCTCACATTATCAGTCACAGCATGGAAGTCTCCCAGAGTGTGCTAGAGCAGAGGCATGGAACATACTAAAAGCAATCTGACTGACCGACTGCAATGGACACTTGATTTCTGTAGGAGAGGTAGTGGATAAGGGCTAGGACTTCCCGAGGCTATGGTTTCTAGGGCCCCGATAAAAACAAAACTTCAATTTAGAGTCTTGGAAACTTGTGACTTGCTCTCCCTATGGCATCCTCCTCTTGCCTTACATGTGACAGCATTTATGCACAGACTGGCACAATGCCTGTGCTTGCTTCCACCCACTCAGTCATTTGAGGAATCAGAGGGCACATGGATTAGGATTTAAATAAACACAAGCTATTCAGGCTGCCTTTTCTCTTTCTATCAAGGTTAAATCTGAGAAGTAAAGGAAGGGCAATATAAGACACAAGGTCTTTTTCTCTTTGAATTTCCTTACTGTGAATACAGTTACTGTCTGTGCATTTTGAGGTTGACAACTTGATATATATGAAGTAATAATCACTCATATCTAAAAATCAATACTTGACCTTTTTTTACTTTCATTAAGCAGGTAAGGAATTTAAACTAATATTTATAAATTGGGAAAAATTTTTCTCGTTTACTCATTCACTTGCTTTAAAACAAGCAGCTGTATTCTTATTCTTGTCTCAAAAACGTTAATGTTTATGTGCTCCTTCTGGCACTTCTGGATTGTTCCACTTTATTCCAAAGAAAAATAGGATAAAATATTAAATAATTTGTGTACTGTGAAACAAAGGAAATCCAACCTTAACATGTAAAAAAACTTTTAACAAACACGAATTTAACAGGTTTTCTGTGCCAAAATTTGCTAGATTTTTCTAAAATAGAAGTTAGTTAAACAGATGCAGCTCAACTAAACGTAGAAAGGGTTAGAAGGGAGATAGGAAGCATGGGGAAATGTGAGACTAACTTTTGAAAGAAAAGAATCAGAAAGAAATTTATATAGTTCCAAAAGAAACAAAAGATCACATAAAAGAAGATTTAGACACACAAATGTGCATCTAGAGAAAGAGGCCTGTCATTCTACGGTATTCAGAGTTGAAAATGTTTAATAGCCTTGGACACTTTTGCTTACCAACTGGGAAAATCTACCTCTGAGTTTCAAAGGATCTGGCTACATCCATACTGTTTATTGTGTTAAACTTTCAAAGATCTTTCAAAGATCAAAAGGCAAACACACAAAGCAGATTCTGACAGTTGCAATATTGAACAACCAAACAAAACAACAGAGTTTGAAGTTTATAGATACTTTTAATTCTAATAGCTGATGAATTGAAATGCAGAACAGAGCAAATATTATAAAGGAAGGAAAATGTATCCTGTTCACATTAGCAAAAATGTGAATATAAAATGAGAATTTTCCTATATGCTGGTGACATTACAACCTAGAAATAATCTTACTAAACAAATAGTCTAGCTGATTATGGCTAGAGAGAATGCTTACATATCAATATTTTTAAAAACAAATTTTTCATTTTTGGTTAATGTTTCCAATTTATTCACAAATAATGTAAAAATTACATAGACCAAGGACTTCAGGATATAATTGAAAACTAATTTATATAGAAGGACACAAGTAAATTACATTTCTCAAAGTTAAGTGGTCTATGAAGTTTACTGAAGTTGTGTGCATGTTGCTGTTTGTTGGGAGCCGCGGCCGAGCCCGGTCGCCTTACTTGGTGGACATGAGGCCTGTAAGAAAGAGCAAAGCCTGAGCTAGATTACCCCTCCCATCGAGTGAGCCAAGTTGGCGCCTGCTTCCTGCCCCCTGATTGCCCTGGCGACTTAAACAACCCGCTCTGTAAGATAGTCTGCCCAGCAACAACTGACGTTAGCCAATCAGCCCGCATCGCGCGCTTTGAACTGATTGGCCACTGTTACCCTATAAAAGTGAGTGCCTCTCCCGCCACGAGAGAGAAGCACAGAGAGAGATAGAGAAAGTCCACCGGTGAGAAAGGACTGGTGGCAGAGCAGAGGCCTCGCGGGGCCCACGTGGAGACAAATAAAGACAAGGTTGCACACCGTCAGAATCTGTCGTGTGTTTTTCCTGCCGGCCGGGAGCGACACCAACATCTGGTGGCCCGTACGGGGGTCTGATCACTCCCCTTGGTGGTGTGCAACGCTCCAGCGTGGTGCTGCCGGACAGGTGAGTGGGGGATAAACCTGGGCTCTGGGTGGCGCGCACCTACAGGGCTTTTAGACTCCCCTCAGGCTCACGCGTAGGTGACGGGTTCTCTAAGTCACACGCGGTGAGTAACAGCCCTCGGAGGTTAAAGATGGGTAATTTACCGAGCACGGAGGCGTGGCCCTTGGTAAAGGCCCTTAGAAAGCTTTTAAAAGCTAGAGACCTCAGGGTAGGTCAAAAAACACTGGAACTATTCATAGCAGAGGTAGATAGGGTGGCTCCCTGGTTTTTACCCACAGAGCATTTAAACCTGCCGTCATGGAAGAAGTTAGGCGGGGACCTCGCCTCGGCGAAATTGGGAGGCGATATTTCGCCAGCTATTCTCCCCCTGTGGGAAATGATACATGCGTGCCTTGAAGGGGAGGGAAAGGGGTTCCCATCGGCAGTTAGAGACGCAAAAATCATGGACGCACGCAAGGCTTTTGAGCAGGCAAAGTCAAAATGCTCTCGGGAGGGATCTGTACAGGGGGAAAAGATCCAGGGAAAGATAGAGGACACCCAAGCTCTGGAGTCCTCCGACTCAGATAGCGAGGAGGAACTAGAAGGTGGGGCAGGAAGCCGAGAGGCCCAAAACCCCTATGCCGAGTTGCGCCGCGAATTGTGTGCGTGCGCCACCCGAGAAAAGCAAAGAGAGGAAAAAGGACCCCCGAGCGCTCTCTGGCGGGGAGGAGATAGACAGCCATCCGCTCCGCCCTGGAGTTCTTTTCCAGAAGCGGTTCCCCGCAGAGAGGCCGCTACAGGGGACCCCCCCTTTTCTCAGCCGGCACAGGAAGTGACGCCCCGTTCCACTCTGTCGCGGCTGCCATCCTATGACGTCGTGCCGCGGGGCGGACGGTATTTTCATGGGCGGCTACTCTGCCGAGCAGGCTGAGAAAAACGCCGGTCGAGGAAACAGGGGCTGGGGATTTAGCTCAGCGGCATAAGCGCCTGCCTTGTAAGCAGGCAATCGCGAGTTCGATCCCTGGTACCGATAAAAAAAAAAAAAAAAAAAAAAAAAAAAAAACAACGAAAAAGACCAAAAAAAATAAATAAATAAAAAACAAAAAGGGGGAGTAAGCTGAGGCCTGCCTCCAAAGGCGCGGTTATCTATGGCATTATTCACATACAATTTTTTAAACTTAAACAGTGAAAATTGCTCCCCAGCTATGGCACATTGTACCCCATCCCCAAAAAATAAAGGATGGGTTAAATGGAAGGACGTCCTGACAGGACAATGGATGGGCCCGGATCCGGTAATCAGCTGGAACCGAGGCGCGGTTTGTGTCTTTCCACAGGGACCGGGACGAGAACCACTGTGGGTCCCAGAGAGGTTGACGCGACAAGTCCCTCGACTGAAGATCAGGCCTGTTCCACCAGAGGCCAACCGCAGACCCAACAACAAGATGAGCCCTAAAAGAACTGCAGGACAATCCCTTTTTGGGGGCCTGGAACGGCTTGCTCCCCTATGTGTTACCCTTGTTAGGCCCTCTATGCTCCTTGTTCTTGCTCCTGCTTATAGGACCATTCTTGCTCCGATGGGTTACATCATTTATTAATGGGCGCCTTGCGGCGGCCCGGCGTCAAGTACGCCTGGTTGCCCATGCGGCCCTGGCAGCAGCCCGTGATGGGCACAATGACCTCCAGGCTTACGCATGGCTCGCTCGACTGGCCTACGACCGGGTCTAGATGTGGCGGGTCTTCCGCATTCCTTCCCTATTGACACCACACAGCAGGGTAGGTGAGTCAATGACGGGTAAGAGCGTGCCTCCCCAGCACGACTCGACCTAAGCCAGGCCCTACCCCATACTGCACGAAAGCCGCTGGATTACTAGAATCTGCCCAGATCTAGATGTCTCTCCGAGGGGATCGCACGGAGGGGCATGAGTGCATGCCTATGTGCATCCAGGTTCCGTCCAGTTCACTCCTGGCCCTGGAAAAAGGACGAGGGTCTCAAGGCCTTGGCGAACCCAGGGACGGCTGACCAGGGTCCAAGCCAAGGGCCTACGGTGGGCCTCAACACAGGGCATAAGCCTCTGCACTCAATCCAGGGCGGGCTGCGATGCGTACATTCATTCAAAATAAATAAAATAGGGGGAAATGTTGGGAGCCGCGGCCGAGCCCGGTCGCCTTACTTGGCGGACGTGAGGCCTGTAAGAAAGAGCAAAGCCTGAGCTAGATTACCCCTCCCATCGAGTGAGCCAAGTTGGCGCCTGCTTCCTGCCCCCTGATTGCCCTGGCGACTTAAACAACCCGCTCTGTAAGATAGTCTGCCCAGCAACAACTGACGTTAGCCAATCAGCCCGCATCGCGCGCTTTGAACTGATTGGCCACTGTTACCCTATAAAAGTGAGTGCCTCTCCCACCACGAGAGAGAAGCACAGAGAGAGATAGAGAAAGTCCACCGGTGAGAAAGGACTGGTGGCAGAGCAGAGGCCTCGCGGGGCCCACGCGGAGACAAATAAAGACAAGGTTGCACACCGTCAGAATCTGTCGTGTGTTTTTCCTGCCGGCCGGGAGCGACACCGACAGCTGTTGTTGGTTTTTTTTTAATAACTGAAGTGGTTTAAAACATTTTTTCAATTTTTAAAATTTTATTTTAAAGAGAATAAAACAGAATAAAGCTAATTAAAACAAACCAGTGTAAGAGATACATGACTTCAAAACATTACAAAATCAACAATAGTGTGACATCTGGAGTAGGGGGATCTCCTCAAGGTTGTAGCCATTGTTGATTCCCTATGGTCTTTGTTTTGAAGTCCTGTGTCATTTCTATTGTTTTGTTGGGTTGGGATTTATTCCCTTTTGTTTTGTTTGATTATGTTAAAGCCAATAGCAGGAGCAGCTATTTCAAAAATAGCAAGATATAGTATGGTAGTAATTTTGGAATTGCTATTGGCTTGTTTTGAAGCCAATATTGCATTCATTGTTTTGTTTTTATTGTTTCTATTCTATTCTGTTGTTTGATTTTTACTATTTTGAGGATGTCATGGGGCATTATAGTAATTAAGACATTTTAAAAATACTTTTCAGAATAAAAATTTTTAGCCATACATTATGACATAGATTTTTGGATTGTAATTGTTTTATTATTATTATATTTATCATCATTGATGCATATTAATTATACAAATAGGTTTCACTTTGACATTCCCATACATGCATATATCATGCTTTGATGGTCATTGTTTTCTGGTGGCTTATTTCAGCATTTGAAAAGATCCCAAAAATTGTCTGAAGAGACTCTTGACCCAGTTTACAGGCAATCCTCTCCAACAATAATAGCTATACCTTCTTGAGTATTCTGGAAAATGCTTTATACATCTTATTTCATTTAATCTTAACATCAGGCTTATGGACAAAAACATCTCCAGTCTGGAGCATGTGCCTTTATTTGTCACATTGCTTAACTCATGAGGATGTTTTGATTCTATTCCAGTTCAGCCGAATTGTAAAGCTGCAGAGATTAGAGGCGTTATGGTGTTTGTCAGAGAACAGAACCCAACACTCCACTGACAGAAGAAATATTTAGGGAGAACAATCAGAAGGAAATGTGGTAACTTAATCTCCTAGTCGTCTCCAAATAAATCTATTGTGCAACCTTATTAGGAGAACACTCCAAACAACCGTGTCCTTGCTACTTTAACTGAGGTCTGAGGACAAGTAGCGGCAGGGTCATCACCGAGTTGGCTAAAATTCAATCTCAGCCCCCAACCTGCAATTACTAATTCAGAAACTGTATTTTAATAGGATCCCAAGATGAATATATTGATGTTATATTTGTTTACTACTATTCTAATATATTAACTTTAAAGTTGCAAAGTAAGACATTTAAAATATGAGATAAATATGAAATAATTTTAAAATAAATTTTGTTTTATTTAATGATATATAACATCAATGTCTTACTTGAAAAATGTTACTACTAATATTTTAGTGAAACAAAGTGACTGAGTACGCATTATTAGTTTTGAAATCGTAGTATAGCATTTTGGAATATTGAGTTCAGGTTAAACTGGCAATTGGCTTGAATGGATGTCATAGCTAAAAATGATACCTTATGAAGATTCATGGATCTAAATGGATCCAATTTGATATTGGTAGTGCTCAGTAAAACATGCTATTGAATTTTCAGGCTCACTTGCATAATTGCATAAAGTCTTTTGTTGAAATTAACTTATTAAATTTCCCTAACATCAATCAGTGGATTTTGTAAACTAAACTATGTTTTATGAATGATTTCAAGGTACTGAAGTAGACTCTTTTAGGCAAGTTAAAAATGTTCTGTTACTCTTCTTTTTATAGCTGGGCAAATAAGAAACAACTAGTTATCAGCAACAGAATCACAAGATGGTGAAAACAGTTCCAAATATCTGTTTTCAATTACTCTGTCTGTGGCATATTTCTTTTGAAAGGCACTTAATTTCTTACTCATTGTTTAGTAAAAAATTGCTTTAAAAAACTGTGTAAGGGCACTATAGTCAGTCTTTATATTAGATAATAATATGGTATTAAGTAATAAAATAAAATATAAAGTTTAAATAATAAAATGTCATCAATTTTCTTACCTGAAATTAATAGAAATTCTGGTTCTAATGAATCATATTGCATTTGCCATAGACTGCACATTTCCAACATCACTGATCATTTTTTGTAGCAGTTTTTCTAACCATTTCAAATATGAAAATATATTTCTAAGGTTATAACTTTCTCAGGCATTTAATACAGCAGTAATTATACTTGTAGATCCATTGGTTGAAGAAACACTTAAAATCTACTTTCAATTTAGGAACAGTCTTTGAAACGTTTTCTTACAGAAAATTTCGAATGAACACAAAGCTTAAAAAATCCTGCAATAAACTTCCTGTAATCATTACTTAGCTTCATTGTACGGTCAGGTAATACTTTAAGTTAGTTATGTTTTCTTGATGTCTGTATGCATGAAGATTTGTCATTCATTCATTTTCTGACAATCCTTGATGTTCAGATGGATATGAGGACTCTATTAGTGGGCTTTTCTGTTGCTGATCAAAATAACTGAACCAAGAAAGCTTAATGGCAGAAGAATTTATTTAGGCTCACTGTTTCAAAGATTTTTGTCTGTGGTCAGCTGGCTCCAAGGCAAAAATATCATGATAAAAGGAGATGGTAGAGAAAAACTGCTTAATATATGGCATCTGGAAAGCAGAAAATGGGAAGAGGGGGAAAAGCCAGAAAGAAAGGGGTCAGGGAGCAGAAATAGTCCCCAAATTCATGCCTCCATGACCCACCAGACACACTCAGAAATGTGCTTGACTAGTCTAGGAATCTTTCAAGCCAGTCAAGTTTTCAATCAAGATTAACCATCACAGACTCCTTGCAGAAATGCTTCATTTTTATCCCATCCACAAGTGGATAACAGAACAAATATCTTTCTGATTTAAGCCAGACCAACAAGTAGCAATATACTTGCATGGTTCCATAGTGTTCCCCTGGAATTATTTTACTGAACTGATGTTTTCTGATATCAGTGACTTATATTGATAGGTGTTTTTAAAATGAAGTCCTACCCACTATGTATGTTTACAATTGGCGTGTCTCTGTAGTTCATTTATCAGACTACACTTATAAGGAAGGTTACAGGGGAGGTATTTCTCTTCAAGTATCAAAACAGTTGTGCTATATTTGAGTGGCAAAGTTAGGCAAATACCATTGTGATTACTGAGGCAGTTGTGTTTTGGAATGTTTTTTTGCACAGGGAACACATTTTTGAGTAAAATTGGTGTCCCCTGGACTGGGTTTTACTATTATTTTTGCTATTTATGACACTTCCACCATAATGTTCTAAAACCCCTTCCTTTTAGTCTGAGTACCACCTACAATTGCGCCTATTTTGAGTTACTACAATACTTGTTTCAGTCCACTCCTAAGAGTGTGTTCAGACTTGTTTTTACTAAGTACTCTGTTCCTATTAAATAGTCACAAGCCTCCTAAAGACCACTGCCAACTTGGCTGAAACACTCCATAAGATTTGTTTGCTTTAGGGTCTAGCTTCTGCCCTCTGCCCACCTTACTGAATGTGATTAAATTACTGTTTCCCAGAAGACCTGAGATAATGATAAACAAATAATACTGAGCACATATCACTTGTACTATGTATGAATATTATTGTTAGTATTTTGCAGATTTTTTTTTTGTCTTTTTCGTTTTTATCGGTACCAGGGATCGAACTCACGACTGCACACTTGCAAGGAAGGCGCTTATGCCGCTGAGCTAAATCCCCAGCCCCCTATTTTGCAGATTTTAATTCATAAAATCCTCATGATTACCCAGAAGTAAACACTACTGTTATCATCATTCTGATTTTAAAGATGAAGACACTGAGGTGCAGATAAGTAAAGTTCATTGCAATCTAAATGGCAATACTATAATTTAAGCATAAGTAGTCAGACTCCAGAGTCTCTTAATCACTCCTTGGTGTTTTCTTTAGCATAGTGAAATATCTCATTTGTAGGGAGAAGAACTTTAATACTAAAGAAAACAGTTTATGTAACAAACCTGTCCTGTCTGTTCTGGGAGGCAGGCCTGCCAAAGACAAATAAGATTAATGAGAACAGAATGCTGGGGTCAGGATAAGCAAATCGGATCTTGGAACATCCAGTCCTCATCATAAAGAAGAATCTTTTATCATGTACACCACTGTGAAAATTATGCAGCTACTAAATCAGAATAATTTTTATCAAAACTAGCTAACAATATATAGTACAAAAGTACCAACAATTGACAAGGATGCCAGTATATTTAAGGACTATGTAACATATATTAACCCTCCCTAGGGTGGGGGAAGGAAATGAGATAGCAACAGAAAAGGAAGGAGAAGAAGGAGGAGAGTGGGAGAGCAGGAGGAAGGGAAGAACCTTAGGATCATAATAAGAATTTACAAAAAACTCAAGAATATAATCAGCTCAATTCTCAGCAACCTGAGGTCCAAATTAAACAGTTAAATAGTAGCCCTTGAATGGTAACTTTTGCTATTGAGGGCACTCATAATTTCTTTGTTTGGAAAAGCATCCCAATGGTAAGAAGGACTGAAATCTAGGGAGTGGATATCTAGGAATGAACCTTGTAGCCTTTGCTTTACAAGGAAATAGCTAATTTGTTCTTTGCTTTTGCTCTTCTTAGTAGTTAGATATAAAAATCATGTCACGGATTTTCAGTTTGTGATAGGTTACTTTTTAACAATGTCGTGAAGCTGCAGTTTATACAAACAATTGACTCATTTAAAGTATATAGCTCAGTGGGTTTTAACATGCTCCCAGAGTTGTGCACCCCTCCCCAAATCAATTTGAAAATATTTTCATCACCCCTCAGAGAAACTCTACACCCATTAGTAGTGACTCCCTATTCACTCACTCGCACTTTTCCAGCCCCAGGCTGTGTATTCTGAGAAGTTTATATAAGTAGCACCACACACTAGGTGGTCTTTGGTGACTGCTGTCTTTCC